GCAGGGACACTGCCCCGCACACCGAACTGGCAAAATATGCACCAAGACGAAGGCAGAATCGAGACAAAATCGGAACCTCTGAGAATCGGCGGGTTTGGAAGATGCCTCGGGCGCCAGGGCCTCCTCAGAGCGTCACGGAACGCTCTGGAACGGATGTATCCTCGCCCTAGCCACGTCCGAGACATACCGGAGGCAGCCGACCCAGGCATGTGGCCGCTCCACTTTTTTCGATGCGCGGGCCCTGGGGTCGGTTTTTCCTCCCGAATCGTTTTGTGACAGCCCCGAAGCCAAGCGAGGGCCCCCGAGGGCCGAAAACGGCCAAGGGCCAGCTGCTCAAATTGTTTCGGAGCGTCGGATCTCTTGGCGACCTACCAGACCACCCCAACCCAACCCGAAGGCCCGAACTTCGGGCGGGGGGGGGGTGAGGGGTTCCACGGGAGTTTCTTCGATGCTTCCCGACCACCACCCCCACTGGAAATCGAGGGCAAATCTGAGCCTTCGGGTTGGGCTGGGGTGGTCTGGTGGGTGGTGCTCTCTGGGGAGCACGCCGCGGCGTGGCCCGGGCAGGAGCACTGCCCCCGGACGCCGCGCTGGCAAGCGGTGTGTGCCGCGGCCGGGTCGCGGCGCCGCGGCCCTGGGCGCGTGCCCTGCGGCCCCTCCCCGGGGCTGCTCACCCCTCGAGCTCCGAGGACCCCCGCCCCGCGTCTCAAGTCGGGCCTGTCCCCCTGCAGGGGGATTTTTTGGACGAAAAATAAGAATGATCCCGGCAAAGCAACCTAACAGCGACAGGTAGGAGCATATCTGGAAGCATTCCCCTTAAGATTCAGATGAGAATCCAGTTGTAGAATTCTGCTGTTCTCGCAGTCGTAGTCGCATTCGCGATGACAGTCGCAGTGGCAACGGCAGTCGCAGTCACAGCCTCAGCCTCAGGCTGCCTCAGCCTCAGCCTCAGCCTGCCTCACCTCAGCCTCAGCCTTCAGCCTCAGCATCAGTCCTTCAGCCTCGGCCTCAGCCTCAGCCTGCCTCAGCCTGGCAGCATCAGCCTCAGCCTCAGCCTCAGCCTGCCTCAGCATCAGCCTCAGCCTCAGCCTCAGCCTGCCTCAGCCTCAGCCTCAGCCTCAGCCTGCTTCAGCCTCAGCCTCAGCTGCCTTCAGCCTCGGCCTCAGCCTCAGCCTCAGCCTCAGCCTGCATCAGCCTCAGCCTCAGCCTCAGCCTGCCTCAGCCTCAGCCTGCCTCAGCCTCAGCCTCAGCCTGCCTCAGCCTCAGCCTCAGCCAGCCTCAGCCTCAGCCTCTGCCTCAGCCTCGGCCTCAGCCTCAGCCTGCCTCAGCCTCAGCCTGCATCAGCCTCAGCCTCAGCCTCAGCCTCAGCCTCAGCCTCAGCCTCCTCAGCCTCAGCCTCAGCCTCAGCCTCAGCCTGCCTCAGCCTGCCTCAGCCTCAGCCTCAGCCTGCTTCAGCCTCAGCCTCAGTCTGCCTTCAGCCTCGGCCTCAGCCTCAGCCTGCCTCAGCCTCAGCCTGCATCAGCCTCAGCCTCAGCCTCAGCCTGCCTCAGCATCAGCCTGCCTCAGCCTCAGCCTCAGCCTGCCTCAGCCTCAGCCTCAGCCTGCTTCAGCCTCAGCCTCAGTCTGCCTTCAGCCTCGGCCTCAGCCTCAGCCTGCCTCAGCCTCAGCCTGCATCAGCCTCAGCCTCAGCCTCAGCCTGCCTCAGCATCAGCCTGCCTCAGCCTCAGCCTCAGCCTGCCTCAGCCTCAGCCTCAGCCTGCTTCAGCCTCAGCCTCAGTCTGCCTTCAGCCTCGGCCTCAGCCTCAGCCTGCCTCAGCCTCAGCCTGCATCAGCCTCAGCCTCAGCCTCAGCCTGCCTCAGCATCAGCCTGCCTCAGCCTCAGCCTCAGCCTGCCTCTGCCTCAGCCTCAGCCTGCTTCAGCCTCAGCCTCAGTCTGCCTCAGCCTCGGCCTCAGCCTCAGCCTCAGCCTCAGCCTCAGCCTCAGCCTCAGCCTCAGCCTCAGCCTCAGCCTGCAGCCTCAGCCTCAGCCTGCAGCCTCATCAGCCTCAGCCTCAGCCTCAGCCTCCTCAGCCTGCCTCAGCCTCAGCCTGCAGCCTCAGCCTCAGCCTGCCTCAGCCTCAGCCTGCAGCCTCAGCCTCAGCCTCAGCCTCAGCCTGCATCAGCCTCAGCCTCAGCCTCAGCCTGCCTCAGCCTCAGCCTCAGCCTGCCTCAGCCTCAGCCTCAGCCTGCTTCAGCCTCGGCCTCAGTCTGCCTCCAGCCTCGGCCTCAGCCTCAGCCTGCCTCAGCCTCAGCCTGCCTCAGCCTCAGCATTAGCCTGCCTCAGCATTCAAAATGTGGCCCGGGAATGGAGTTCTGGGAATTCGAAGAACACGAAGTGGCCTACGGTTGGCTCCGGGCATTCAAAATCATGCCCAGGAATGAAGTTCTGGGAACTCGAGGACCACGAAGTGGCCTACGGTTGGCTCCGGGCATTCAAAATCATGCCCAGGAATGGAGTTCT